CAAGGTTATTAAAAATAAACAACTTTTGAGCTTAAGACCAATACTAGCAGTTTTTATTTCAGGAAAACAACTCTTCAGCATATTTTTGTCAGAATTCATTATTTAATTCCCAATTGATAAAATCAGTCATATTTTCAAATGCTTTAAATTGCCACCAAATTAAAACATTATTATTACTCAGTAATCTCTATATTGTGTCTAGAATGAATACAGTATTTGCTCTATTAGTAGTGCACGCACTTTAATACATAAATGACATGTCAAACAAGTCACATTTTAATGAACCTGTATACAATATATTATTATACATCTGTCACCATAACGCCATAAGTTACAGCATGCCGTAATTTTGCAGTATTTTACGGGGTATTTTCATTCTACCATATTAGGAAGTGCGAATTCCAAATATGGAATGATTACACTGTACACTGTCGTATCGACCTCCGCCGACCTCGTAATAACCTTATAGTATTATTTATTCTATTAGTAGTGCATTTACATTAATATATACTGTAAAATACTTTATTTTAGCAGAAATTAATTTTTACTGAAAAGAATTTTTGGGTGTTTTGTATGAAATTAAATTTTCAGTTGAAATGTAAAACATAGGAAAAAAGTTGCTAGATTTTATTTTCACTGAATCATTCCTTCAGCGAAAATAGCGAAAACTAATTCCAAGCGAAAATAAAGTATTTTACAATAAATTACACAGGTGTGTCTATGGACAATATAAATCTTACTCAGTTCAGTATAAAATAAATGCAATTTTTGGTTTGAGTGCATTTTTAACACTATTTTGAACATGTCTGTAAGATGGCTAAACATATTAATACTGTAAATAGGATCAAGGAACCCGCTAGTTCATCACTGAGTACATACAAATTCACACTATAAAAACATGCAAAGTGCTGCATTATTCATTTGGTTGGCAGTTTTATTGTACATACAAATTATTTTCCTATGAAACATAGGGTTATACAGAGAAATCATCATTTGGGTAGCTGTTTTCATGGCGAAGTATGGTCAAATATTATTTTATTGCACGCCTGTAAAAAAAATAGTGCTTTGTATAATTTAAGAGAGTATTAATTTTATTAGTCTGTTTGTCACAGAGTATGTCAATTTTTGTTATACGCAAGACACATTCTATTAAAGTGATGAGACATATTTTTGTAAGGTACAAGACCTTACGAAACAGTGCTGTCGAATTTCAATATTCATGTAGTTGTGTATTAATTCCTCTATTACCGCATATATATATATACTTGAATGAGATCTTGGCATGATGTCACCATACAGTACTATGCGCGTTGCAAACCCCAAGTAATGTACCTCTGATACAATATAGTAATGTATTTTTGTTTTCAAGTAAAAAGGTAAAAATGGAAATGTAGGTGATCCTTAGTAGAAAGAAAGCTGTTCAAATGTATATATTTGCTGTATTAGAAGACCATGCACACGGGTACGTTACAAGTGTGTGTCTATGGCAAAAATAAGTCATATTTAATGATTCGCTATACAACACATGCAATTTTTAATTTATAAGTGTTTATAATGGAGATGCACTTCTAATAGAACAAATATGGTATGTGTTTTTGTTTTTAAATGTAAGGGGTAGCCTACATTTCAATTTTACAGTTGTTTTGACAAGCCACATTAATGATGTATAGATGGTGAAATATTAATATTAGCTTAAGGCTCCATAGTTACAATTGTCTCCATCGTATTAGATATTACGTTAATAATATCAGCAGAGAAGAGGAGATTTCCTTCACTAAGATTGAGAAATAACAGGAGACTGGTAAAGAAAATGTATTACAGCATTGATTTGTTTATATGTATTTTTACTGAGTTCAACAAAGTAACTCAAAACTCATATTAGAACAGAATAGGGTATCAGCATCATGCATCATCACCTGTGTCAATCTCCCGGAACAGAAAATGACCTCAGTGATCTATGTCAAACACATTGAAATTACTGAACCTAGCAACAGTTGTTACTAAGAAGGACTGCTGTGTTAATTGATGATGCTAAATTTCTGGTGCTTCAAAGATTTAATGAAAATAGAGTCAAAATAATTTGAGATTCACAGACATATTTATTCAATAAACTAAAACCAGTTGACAAAACATTTAGATTTGTTTTTTTTGAAGTTTCACACTAAATTTTATTCTTAAAAATTATTATTGATGCCGATATCCAACAAAACACAACAGCTATATAGACTTAGAATTCAATGGTTGTCAACATGTCTGGTGTGTAATTTAGATTATCATGTCCACATGTAGGGTTTGATAGTATACTCAAAGATCAATAATACATTCTGTATGTTTATATATAGAATGGATTGCATCCTCTGATTTGTTCACTTTATTGAGCAGTAATGATTATCCATGCAGTCTCATCAATAATCAGTGGAAGAGTTATTTCATTTACTTTTCTAAACAGTCTTGATTTTTCACATTAATAAGTCACTCCTGCTGCCTCTCATCAATAATTATCTACTATATAAGCTGGTATTCATTATCACTTTTATCGGAATCGATAATAAGTTATATCAAAGCTGATATATGCTAATGTTGTTTTTTATTTTCACTCTGAGAAGACATATCAAATTAGTTTCATTATAAGATAAACAGAATAGGAATGGCAAATTATTTTCCTAGCAATTATTTATATTATGATAAATGTATACATATTTCTTCACTGAGAATTGCATTTGGATTTAATTGACAGCTTGATTATAACTGTACAAATGCGTTGAGTGCCAAAGTTAATTTTGCCACCTTTCACAAAATAAAACCTGCATATTTTTTTTTTGCTTTAATCCAAAATGTTGTCAAGACCTACAGCCAATAGGAGATTACAAACCTATGTAACCATGGTAATTGGAGGAGGATATGTGATGAAGAAAGAGAAATAAATACTATTTCACTAGCAAAAATATGCCTCGTTGTTCATGTCGATTTTTAAAAGAAATTCCAATACTATTTTAAGTATAATCATTGAAACACAGTTGTTTCACTAGATGACAGATTGAAGATCTCAGTTATATTTTCTACGCTTGTTTTCAGAATTCAGAATTAAAATATGGGTTTC